AGTTTCCAAAAATTTCAGTTCCCCATTTCCCCATTACAACATTTTCCAATTTTCATATTCCATAATTTTCTCCACAGAACAGCTATTAACGTAAGCCAGCTGGAGCTATATAGCTGTGCAACATATTGAATGAATGATATCATATGAATAAATTTGGAGAAGAATATGCAAAACATGAAATATAATACCGGCTACAAACCAGCGTTAATAAACTGTGAATTGTTTCTCGAGGTTTATAATAATCTATAAAAAGCTTAAAAATTAATGAATTATTGATTGCTTCATAATATTAATGAAAAGTAAATTGTATTAATCTGAAAATTGCTCTGATTAGTGGCACATCAAAATTTAATTTAAAAAATTAATTTCAAAGAATTCATGGAAATTATATGCTACATATTACTTCTTTAAATGCTATACTCATTTTTGACGTGGTGTGTCTATAACTTACAGTATTTGCTTAATTTTGTTAAGATGTCTTAATTAACAAAATTTACAAAATTTAATCATTTATATTTCTAGATATTAATTAATAATTTGTTGTGTTAAATTACTAGAATATTATTTTGTGTTAATTCACTATAGAATTATTTTGTGTCAATTATTGGTATATTCAATTTTAAAAATATGGTTGCAAAATATAATTGTTAGTATATTTGACATGATGAACAAAACAATGAACAACACTGAACATTATTTAGATGAACAACTAGATTTTGTTTACATTGAAATAATTCAATAATATACAGTATCCTCATACAATATCAGAAAATACGATTTTCCTGTATAAAAGAAAATTTAACCACCAAAAATTAATACTACGTCAAACTAGATAATTATAATACATATCTGAAGAAATAATACTCAACACAATTTTTATAAATCATTAAAAAACTGGAGCTAACAATTATTAACTGTGGCAAATTAAAAATCACTGACAAAATTACCATAACACTAATATAATTATCATAATAATATCCTAACGATATTACAATTGTCAACTGATATTTGTAATAATTTTAGTTTCTTTATATATTTAATGTCTCTATATACATGCACTAAAAATATGCAAAACCTAAATAATCACGTCATAGTCATTGCACAAAAGCAGTTTCCTCACAAATAATCTCTTTCTTCCCCTCTTTATGAGCACACAAAGTATTTTATTTTCACCAAATACCCGCAAAATTAAATCCACAAGAAAATGATCTTTGACGGAAACCAAGGAACATTGACGAATTGAAAAGAAGAAATAAAATTGCGATTAAAGTACAAATCAAAAGAATCAGGCGATGTCAAAAGTATTTATAAAAGACTCTATCCGACTAATTTTATTCGACAATGATAATATTATATGACACGTTTCTGCAATGAAAAATAATAAAAAGATGTGTTTACTTGTCGAGACTCTGAAGTATGCAAATGATTTTGTTATTGCACCATCGTCTCCAGTAAAATGTACTTCGCATTTATGGCATGTAAGATGTTTACTAAACTTTAATATCGATTATCTGAAATACTGACGAGAGTTAACGCCTGTTCTTTCGTGCTTGAGATGAGTAAAATGGCGAAATTACTATTCTACAGGGCATCAAAATTCCATGCATCTCGCTCCTTTTATTTATATAGTCATTTGTAATTCCTGCATAATTTGTATAGTCAATTAAATAGCTTGTACAATTTATATAGTCGTGTACATATGATGTGTATGCTGTAGATTCATGTTATTGCATTAATCCATGATTTTTGCAACAGCTGCGTCAGAATAACTAATTACCGCTGCGATGTCGAAATAAATACATAAACTCGAATTATTAGACTTATTTTGTATTTAGAGTGCATATTATTATAGTATTTAGACTTTTAACTTGTATTTAGAGTCCTTGATTGTCCTTGAGTCCGGATAATTGGAATCGGATTGAAAATTTAATCATAAGAAATGCGAGTTGGATTTGTCACATTTGACCTATAGTGTGCGTCATGAGTGTGACACAATATTAGTTAAATGAAAAATATTGAGGAGTAAATTGAGTTATACTCTAATTTCTTTTTAATCAAGGTTTATATTTTTAAAGAAATAAATCTCATATCAGGTAAACATAAACATCTCATCGAATCCTAAACATCTCAATGTATTCACCGATGACAAAAATGTAAAAATGAAAAAAACTGCCATTTTTAGAAAAGCTTGTTAGTGGAATTTGTTTACATGGAGGCCAATGTCAGCCATTATGGATGAAGTTATTACAGATATTCATAGCTTTTTTGAGTAACAAGTTTTCTGACACGTAACTAGAATCACTTCGATTACTATGTGAATAATTATTTTACTAAAAATACTTTTAAAACAATGTTGGGTAGTTTCAAGAGGGATATAATTTGATATATTTGGTTTTGCATGGGTGGACATACAGAGGATACACGAAGATCAAGTCCATTTTTTAAATATAATTCTAATTATAATTATCAGTAATTTTGTATAAAATATTCACTGAACTAAACGGAGAAATTAGTTCAGACAGTATGTTAACTTTATGCGAAATAACTGGAATTGATAACCCTCTAAAATATTTTTTACAGATGAAATTTGATTGCATAGTACATTTTTCGATTTGTTATACTTATATTTTTGTATACATTTAATTTCAGCGTTATTTTTAATTTTTTTTAACAAGTCATATTCTTTCATCACGAAAATTAATAATGTAATTATAAAACAAATGGTGTATACTATATTAGTCAACAAATAACATATAACAATCATAGTTAAATTAAAATTATTACAAAAAACGATTAGCCGTTGATGAATTTTGACATATAAACATAAAATTAAGAGTTTTCATACCGTCCTTTATTTTGTGTAATCACGTTTAAAAAAAATAGTATAAATATTCTTAAGTGTAAATGTATATAAATAAATTTAAATAAAATAAAATTAGTAAATTTTAAATTAGTAAATCAGTAAAATTAGTAAATTTTTATTTTAAATTAAATCACAATAATATCATCACTGAATTATTTCTACTGCATTATGCACAATTTCGTTATGAAAGAATATGACTTCTGTAAATTTAATAAATAAAAGCAAATTTAGTAATTCACTGTGTGATCCTATTTCAATCATACAGATTTAAATGATTGTTTATGAACAAGCATAATTATATATTTTTTTAAACTAAATTGCTAAATATACATTTCTAAATTCCTTTATTTCTAAAGTCATCAATTTGAAAAAATATATATAAATACAAAGGATAATATGTTTAAATTAGCAAAAAATATACCATCAACAGTGTAACGCTAAGAAAACATAAATTTTCATTTATATAATTATAAAACGTCATGGCGATTAATGAAAAACAGACGTCAAAAGAAATATTTCTAATTCTGGTTAAATATTCGATGATGCTCTTGAAAACTGACTCATTTAAGTATTTATAGAACTCGACATTGAATGATTAATATTTACACAAAAATCTGTATATCTTATCAAAGAATGACTATTTTTAAATGACCACATTCTTATATGTCTAATAATGAGAGCAATTATCTTACAATTTCTTTACAATTTGATTGCAAAAGCCGTACAAAATTTTGTTCGCGATTCAAATCACGTTTGTAGCTGAGAGCCATATTAAAAGAGTATTCACAACACAATGCAAGGAAGTTCAACACCAAGTACTAAAATATCTCCGAATAACTGAAATGTTTCCAACGCAATTTGAATGATTTCAAAAGAAACGTAAATAGAAAAGTTTTCGTTTCATCGTTTCTTTAACAAAGGTTTTGAAGATCAGGAGTTCTCATCAAAGACTCATGAAACTGGGACAATTTTAAAACGACATATCAATTTATTTTATAAATTGCACGTGTTTAAAGTAACATCTATCAACAGCGATGCTATTTAAAAATTAAATCCTATTACAGAAATAATATCACATAAAAAATTATTAGATTTTAGTACAAACAGTAAAAACGATCAGTAATATCAGAAATTGCCTTTTCTTTAAAATTGTGCAGTAAATCCACTCAAAATTTCGAGCATCATTAAATTGTATATTATTTCTATGCTTGCATGACTTATACAAAAGTACAAGAATACACTTACAAATAACAAAATAACTTGTTTAGGTTAAATCTATCTTTAAAATACTTGAAATGTCTGATGCCACCTATCCACTCTATTTCTTCGCAACCGTCGGAAAACCGATTTCATTCAAGCTTTGCAGAATTATAGGGAACATTGAAAGTAATAACTATGCAAAGCCATAACTTGTAACTTCCCAAAATAAATAATTTATGTTTAAAGTTCTTATAATTTATATTTAACCATACCGTGTTTCTGTTTGTTTTAAAAGAAATTACGATTGAAAGAAATCAGAAACTTTTGACCCATCATATATTTAACTGTTTGAGAATAGTATATCTAGCAAAATAAGTGTTCTTCTATTTCATAGAAAATCTAACTGCACAAGTTTCTTTCGCGGGAATTTAAAAATATTTATTCTTCAATTAATTTCAGTAACTCTTTACCCAAAAGCTCTAGATGTGTCAAACCGAGGACCGTGAGATCTCTCAGAGTTTATATAAATATTTCTTTGTTAAATTATCGAATCTACTAATTGAAACAGACAAAGAAAAATAAAGAAGGTTCATATACATTGACCAGTTTCGATTTCACAGCCCTCGGTTTAATAAATCCTTTCTGGACGAACTTCGAACATTTTCTCCACTATTTGAATGAATTGCGCGCGACGGTCTTGCAAGGTTGTTGCTCTCGACATACTGTCTAGCTATACGAAGTTCGAACAAAATCGGTGATCCAAATGTCTGGTCGTTAGCCAGAATCGTTTGTCGCACCGTGAGACGACGCGACGCGTACCGCGCGCGAGCAACGACGAGATCGAGTGGCGCGTAAACGCGATGACACAGAGAAGACAAACCAGGGAGGAAGCGAGGACAGAGAGGGAGGAAACAGACAGAAGTGAATAATGACTTACTGTGAGCGGCAAAGGTCATGATGACGTCGCTCTGGTCGATGGCCCTGAGATCCTGACCGGTAAGATCGAACTCGCCGACGCTCCGTTGCTCGCCGATCGGTTTCTCGTCCTCGTCCTCGCCGAGGGCGTTCTTGTAGATGTCCAGCAGAAACTTGGGCGCCGACCTTTTCACCTGTGGCGGTCTGCCGGCCGTGTTCCTCGGCCTGTCCGGCAGCCCAAGAAGATTCAATATCTCGTGCTCGACCTCG